CCGCAAGGAGCAGTAATTCCGCTTGCAAAAACAAACAAGCAAAAAGCGCTTGGACAATTGCTAAAGCAAGCGCAGCTCTGAGGGCATCCATGCTGTCGGCTAGTGTAAACACAGGTCGCACACGTGATGTCAGCATTTTTTTGTCGCGGAAAGTGACGTTGTGCACCTTAAAACTCCGGTTTTGTCTGTCCACATGCAAACACCCAAAACGGAGAAAACGCAGATCTTCACTTTGGCCGGAGTTTTTAAAAAGATCTGTTTTCGTGTGAAAAAACTCCGTTTCGTGTGGATGACAGGCCAAAACGTAGAAAAATATCTACGTTTTGGCAGATCCTCGGCTACGTGTGGACAGGGCCTAAATCATAATGAACATAAGAAAACTGAACTCCTGAACTAACACCTTCGGGAATTTAAACACTGATTTAGCTAACCCATATGACACACAAGGGGAAAACAAAATGGCTGCCCCTTAACAAACTACAGCATAATAAAAATTAAACAATACTTGTGCCGAATCCAACAGTTAAAGTACTTGGCTTGATGGTTTGCTTGGAGGTGTGGAACACTGGAAAAACATTTTTCCTGATTATATTTAGTCACAGTTTTTCATTCAGGCTGAGCATGAGAATACACGTATCTGCTGCGTTAGCTTCTAATAGAAAATTGATGGTGAAACTCTAGGATTAGAAATCCTGACAGATCTACATCACACTGTCACTTAACATTCATGGACTCACCCATCTTGACTCACGATGGGGAAGGCTGCGTCCAGGAAACAACTCCGGCTAGTTTAAGCTAACTGTCAGCATTAGCAACTTCATCACATGGAAGAACTCCTCCAGGCTCGTGGTATTTCTGGAGATAAAACATCAACGTTGCTGTTATCCAATCCAAGGTTAGATGTCCAAATATCAGGAAATAACACTGCTGTTTGAAGCTCAGCTGTGATGTGGCTCACATCTAGTTCCTGGAAATGGTGCACCAGTGTTTTTTCCTCCCCAGAGTACAACTACCAAGGCATTCATTCCTACTAGAGACCACTGCAAATGTACTGATGTGAACCACACCTTAAACTCTCTTCATCTAATCCAGAAACCTTCGTCTTGGAGACTTTTAAATCACTTTTGTTGAAAGCTTTAGTTTATATATATATATATATATATATATATATATATATATATATATATATCGGCCAGTTTCACATTATTCTTTTCTATTCATTATTTTTTAATGATCTGTATTCATTTGTTTTGTGAACCTTTTTCTTTAAATGATCTTTATACATTTGGTTTTAATGAATTTCATTCATTTGCTTTCTGATCTTTTTGGTTTTAATTATCTTTATTCTTTTGGGTTGTTCTTGTAATCATGTTTTAATTTCGATGTGATTTTCCCTGTGAAGTACTTTCTGAACTTTTTTGTGCTATGTGTTATATTTAAATGAACTTTACTTGCTTTTAGTTTTTTTTTTTTTTTTTTTTTTTTTTACACTACATTCAACCTGTTTTTCACATCTGTTACCAAATGATTTTTGATAGGCAGCAGTTCAGAAATGGCTCCTGGAGACATTCGGGATTTGTACATCTGCAAACATTTTTCTCAGATCTGCTCTGAGCACGTTTGTGTTGGTCAGGTCAAACCACTTGTTTTAAATGTTTCGTTTTGAGTCTGAACAAAAAAGCTTCAAGTCATTCATGGCAAAAATTCAGAAGCTTTGGGAGATTTCAGTGTGAGAGAGATTATTTTAACGTAAGATGTGTAAAGAAAGCTCAAGACCATTTATTCA